CAAGTCTTTGACTACTACTACTACTACTGACGACACACGACATGCCTTCTACTTAACCGAGTGTATGTGCAAGCTGCAAATGGACTCGGCTATGTTTCCGTCATTTTGACTCACTTGTCAAAAACATTACTAACAACGTTCCAAAATTTTCAAAAAGCAATGACCTTTGATCGCAGCCTTTCCAACTAAATCAAACAAATCAATTTTCAAAAACACAATGTCATTTACCTTAGCAAGCAGAACCAGTCATTCGGCTTAGTAGCTTTTTTGTTTTGGCTAATAATTCAAATGTCTCAAGTAGATGTACTTCACTGTCCTTCTCATAGTTTCTTGTCTCTCATTTATTATTTCATGCTGCCTTTGAGAATGAGACCGGGACAACGCTTAATTGCTCAACTTTTTATAAGAAGAGTTTTTTAAGGTACCATGGAAAGGGGGTAGAGGCAACAATGTCCGTTTTTTGGCCTTAATGGACTCAAACTTTTTCGATATTTCAGTCTGATATTTGAGCTACTTTTCTACTTTGCAAAAAATTGTCGGTTAAGGGAACGGCGCTGACGTTAAATTTTTCCCCTCTCCTCATTCAATAAGTTAGTTACTTGATAAGGTTAGGCTTGATATGATAATAAGGCAACCAGAAAGACAATAGCGGTTCTTCGTAAAGCGATTTAAAATTTTTAGTTGGTTGTTTACCTTGCGTTTATTTTGTCTTCAACTTTATTTTTAAACCGTTAAAAGTGAAATTTAATAGCATTCCCTAGGTTCAAGCGTTCCTAATTGATTTAAACCTACTGCAGTTAATTTATAATGATTTAGCTGACGCTGATTCAGCAAGAGATTTTATGCGAAACAATATTCGTTCTTCAATTTTCCGTTATAGGGTCCAGTTATTGATTTTAAAAAGAATTTGACGTTAAATTATTGAAATAGTAATGTTTGCATTTTTTTTGGTTTTCTAAAAAAAATTATTTCCGCAAAGAGATTGACTTCGATTTTGGGCTACTAGAAAAAGTGTTTCTGATTTTCTAGGCCAAAGTCGATTAACGCTGATTTTCAATATTTTTGAAAATAGGGTTTGAAAAATACGATGATGATTTTTTATCATGGATTCAGGTTATTTTGTCTTAATCATTTTTAAACTTGATGCAAATTGAGCTGCATTTATTCATTGTTGTGCTCGTCTTAATTGGAAAAATAGGATCTACTCAACAATTGCCCCCCCCCCCCCTTGGTATCTACATAAGAATTGCCACCCCTATTAATAAAAGCACTAAATTAGCACTGAGCGTTCTATTGAGAATTAGAATTTTGCTGCATTCTGATTGGTTGAAAATGCGTTGTTTTAATCTACTTAACAATTGCCCCCCTTTCTTAAAAAGGGGGGGCAATTGTTAAGTAGATCCTAAAAATAACTTGTACGTTTTGGCAGGGCGACATTTGGAAACAGATGACAATTCGTATTAGGCGACAATTCGCTCTGCTTCAATCCGCTGCGCTTGCGTTCGATACGAGAGAAATTCTGCGCTCGAATCTGTGTTTCTCGCTTAATCCCTGTTACGAATTATTACTTGTTACGAATTTTCGCTAGTTACGATTTGACGCCAGTTACGAATTGTCACGTGTTAGTTTTATTTTCATGGAAAATCGGCTCTAAAACAAAAGATATATTTGATTGAAAGGTTTTTTTCTAGCCATTCAAATTGCCATTTGTAAATACGAAGTAGTTATTAAATCCATTAAAAAAAAGAAAAACCACTTTTTTGTAGTATTTTTGAAAAAAGTATCTCATGCAACATACGCTTATTTATTGTCGTTTATGAGATCTTTGCATAGCTTGTTTTTCTCGACCAGACTGTAATTTAAGTTTGTACAGTGAAGTCAGGCGACGCTAAACAACAAAGTGTTGCCCAAGATGACAATTTGCCTTTTTTGAGTTTTCAAAAAGAAGCGTTGTAATTGTAAACTATTTTGTATAAAATTATTTAATTCGTTAGCTTTAAACTTCAGTTTAAAATCAGCCATTGCGTTCAAGAGATTTTTCTGACCGAAATTGAGGGGCACAATTGCAACTTTTAATGAAATGGAAAATTTTCAACGGCACAATTTTTCAACTGGTCAATAAGACTTTACAGGGAACACTCACGCCAAGTCTTTCTCCAAAATTTTGCATTTCAAACTGCGAAAATGGCAAATTTTTGTGATTTTTTATTCGGTCACTTCATTCATTTTTTCCACGTTGATGTACCTTTTTTGCTTTCAAACGGGTAGACTGGGCTGGAAGATCATATGCTTATGCTTTTTTCCATTATTTTTACTTCAGTTAAATAAATTTCTGATTGACCCTACTTGCTCTGTAACGTATAAAAAGCTTCTAAGCTTGCAATTTCACATTCTTTTAGACGTTGGAAATAAACATAGTTTTTCCCAAAAAAAATTTACATTGCAAAACTTGTTTATTGTTCCATTTTGCGAAAAAACTGACGGAAAAGTTGTGCTTGGCGTGTTTTTTTTCGGCATTAACTCTCACAGACTTTTTCTTTATCCAGCCTGGAAGGTAGTGATGGTCTTCGCTCAAAACACGATATTTCAATTTTGGTCGTTTCACTTTTCTTAAGTTTTTAGGAATCTGAAAATTGTTCTATTTTAGAATGATTTACATGCAATACAATGCATTTTGTAATCGCAAATAAATTCAGATCAGAAATCAAATGTATTTTTTTGGTGGCGTAGAAGCAACTGAGACAATTTATTTAGATTTTCATGCAACTTTTTAATTTGTATGATTTTTGACCGAAATAGATTCCAAACATCTTTCGAAACAATTGCAAAATTTGAGGCTCTACACTGATATAATCAGTTTTCAATAAACGTGACAAAATTTTTGTGCGGCTCGTAGTTTTTTTTTCACAAGGAAAATGCTACTCTTACTTGAATACACTGGCAAGTGATTGACTTTCATTTTAAACTGTCTGAAAAATTTTGAATCTCAAAATTAAAAAGATTTTAACCGTGACTTTTTGTGAACAAAAGAGTGGTTTGAAATTTGCCAGTTTTGTCAATTTGGGACTATTCGTTTGCATGAAATTCCATGTTTCTACTGACGCCTAGGGTCAGCGGGAACATATCCGGCTCAGATATTATTTCAAATTGAATTAAGGCAAGCTAATGGAATTGAATATGCCACTTAGAGGCGCAAAAATTTTTCCACTCTGTTATTGATATTGGGTGTGAGCAAGATTAGAAAAACTTTTTATTTGAGCGTCATTCTGGTTTGAGCTCTCCTGTTTAATTTTTAACTTTGGTTTATGCTCTTGTTCGTTATTGCTCGTTATTGAGATATACCTCAAAGCTTTTGCTAAAGATTTTCAGGCAGTTTTTTTTTCGATTAAAGAGCTCTTTGTAAACTTTTTTTAAACAGTATTTGCCCCTGTCACAATCAGAACTTGGGCTAGAAAAAATATATCTAAAGTTTCAATGAAAAATTAGATGTTTTCAACTATTATCATTGACTGCTCTGTCACCTGAAAACAGCATTAGTGTTTTTTGTCAAAAAATTTTGAGTTAACTTGTTAAAATTTTTTGACTGACCTGAACTGTTCTCTGCAGACTTAAAAAGGTGAGCCTGAGTTATATTTTCGAATTAACTATGCTTTCAAAACTAAGGTTTGAAATTTTTTTTCAAATTTAGCCGGTAGTTTTTTAAAAGAATTCAACTCTTAATTATGAAATCTTAACAGCGGTTTTCTCAATAGTTCGGCAATATGCAGGCAACTATTGATTGTGGAAAACAAAAATATATTGAGCGTCATCAAACGCTGAAAGTTTGAGTAATGCAATTGAAACGCACCACTGGAACTCCGTTGCCTTGATAGTTCTGATCTAGCTTACAAAAAAAAGTTTTCCTGGATTTACTAGACTTTTTTTTAGTTTGAGACATAAAGCTTATATGAAGCATCATCGCTTAAAACTTCAGGAATGTAGTTAAAACGCACCACTGAACTTCGCTGAGCTAAAATTGGTTGAGCGTTTTATGAAAATATTTCCAGGAACTGAATTTTTTGTACTGCATTTTTTTGCCGCGCATGCGCTTGTATGTCAGCTGATCTCCCACAGCCTATTTTTACTAGCAGTTTGTTAGAACTTACCATATTCAAATGAACTTTAATGTGTTATTGCTGGCACTGGAAATTTATTTGCAGAACGCACAATTTATATATATATATATATATATATATATATTTTTTTTTTTTTTCGATTCGTTTTTTCAACACAAGTTTATTGCAAGTTTGAAAATCTATCAAAAATTTGTTTTTTTTTTACCTCAAAATCAATGCGAGGTTCCAATTTGCCTTTGGGCTAATGTATGTAATACTTTGTTAGTGTATTCTTACCCTGCGTTCGACAAGAATGCTATTCATAAAAACCTCATGCAAGCTCACAAACATTCTATAATTAAGAAAAATCTTCGTAAAAATACTGTGACTAGAACTTTTTACATACAATAAATATATGACCAGCATGTTTTCGTACCAGCATATGACCAGCATGTATGACTAGCTTTTTTATAAGCTACATTTTGGCAGATTTTTGTTTCTTACTTTGCTCTTTTATTTTTTTTTTCAACTTCCACACATACTAGACCTGGGCAAAAAATACCCATAGTTTAGAACTACAATTGGAATCACAGAGAAAAGCTGTATTACGAGATGTTGTCAAAAAATACAACAACATCTGAAGCAACATTAACATAAAATCACTCAGCTTTTTACAATTGGGCTGAACAGTTCTCCTGTAGTTTTTTCGCCTATGTTAATTATGAATAACTTTTTCGATAAACGAAATGTATGAAACTGATTGAAAATCAAAATTAACGCGATATATAAAACTACAGTATTAACTATTTGAGGGTTTTATTTTTATTAACAACAAAAGGTCCCGAAAAGAATCGAACATCTGACCTTCTTGATTCTGATTTCTTTAATTAAACAGCTTGATCTGTGGCATACACTTGCAATAAAAAGGGTGTTTTTGGTACAACTAGTCATAAAAACAGAACACTTCTCAGTCGACTTTGGCGCATTTGCTGCTCTCCAATTAACGTGCTGTCAAGCTATCCATAGGAGGCTCTAAATCATCAGCTGGTGACTTAATTAGTATTTCCTCAAGTGTCCAAAATCTCCGTGCCACTTGTGTTACTCAACAGATAAACACGCCAATCAAAACAAAACTGTATCATCGATATGTGGATCTTGCCATTTTTTGATCTGGCATTTTCATTCCGCTAATTTCATTTTTTCATAAAATTTTCCTCTTGGCTTGCGCTGTGACAGAAGTGACGGCCAGGAAAATAAAGCCGGAGGGACCAGTCGATTTCTGAGAGCACCGGTTTGTTTTGAATATTAATTCAGCCGGAACGCAACAGGCCAACAGTACAACAGGCGGGTTTATTGATTTTTTAATACTTTCTTATTTTTGTGTTTGTATGTAAATCGAAAGTGGCGGGTAGACAAGCATAATTCAATATAAAAGTTGCTATTCACTTAAAATCGACAAATTAATGCACTTTTTGAGTGAATTTTTGTGCGCAACCTTTTTTCGCAACCTCCTGAGGTTGTTGATCAGGGCATGGGTAAATACGGGTGGAGTACATCATCAATCTTGACTTTGTTTCGTCCAATTCTTTTTGCTGGCCTCCAAATTACTTTAATCTTCATTTACCCGCGACGGGATTAGATATTGACGACCTACAAATCGCATTCTTCTAAATTTTGTACGTCACTTTGTGGAAGAGTTGTCAGAAAGCACATTTTCTTCGTGAGAAACTGCTGCCAAATTAGTCGAAACTAGCAAAAAAAACGTTGATGAATGGGTATTTATGGCGGATGACTGAACTGATAACTGACCTTCTGAGTTAGAGCTTGAAAAAAAATTCAATTTACTTTTGGACATCTAGCGTAATTACCCTACCATTTATTTTTCTCCTTTAAGGACAAAAATCGAATTGAATGGATTCATTACAGTTCAACATTGTTTCTAAATTGTTTTTCCATTTTTCTTATTGAAAAGGCTCTCAATGAATCGTTTCCAATAATCTGTATACAGATCTTAATGAAATCCTAATCAAAACTTATTATTTGGAACCTATGTTAGCTTGATTCTTCCCGGATAAAAAAAGTATCTCATCAACCCGTGCAATTTAGACGCTCAGAAAATTTCTCTGCTAAAAACAAAGGTGAGAATGATTGACAGCTTACTGATTGTTTTGACACAGTCTCCATTACATAGTGAACAACTTTTTTTCCAAAATCTTGTAAAATTTTTGGCATGTGATGACCAAAATAAATAAGCTTGAAACGCTTGCAAGTCTCCTAATTATTCGTGGCGTTTAGTAAGGGCTTTGAATAAATTAGGACTGGACGAAAAGTCTTGCTGTGCTTCTAAAAAAACTAATTATAGCCGTTGATAAATTGTTCCAGTCCACAATTCTCAGATAGGTTAGGTTGTTGCATTCATAATCAACTGCCTCATAAATTTGGGACTAATTTTATGCAAATTGTTGCTGAAGTTCTCTTCTCCCTTGTGGCAAAACACATAGCCAACGAAACAGATAACATGTAAAGGCTTAAAATCAATTCTAATTTCACATTTTGATGTTGAAAATTCAATTAGACCAAATTTAATCTTTAATAAAAACGACAGTTAAAGTCACGTAACGTTAGCACTTCAAAAATTGAAATAAAAAGCAACATTTGACTGACCTTCTTTGATTACAAAATTTGTTATGTAAACTAATTTCATTCATATGTTGATGCAATCAAAAATCGTTTTCTCCTTTTTAGTCTATGTCCTGCAAATATTGTCAGCATAAAGTACTCCAAACGTCTTTACTTCTACCCTGCTTTTTCCAGATAGAAATCGGATACTCATTCTTCATTTGTATACCAATTTTAAAACATTCCAAAAATTTTATCATCTTAACAAACATTACTGCAAAACATTTGAACCAGTTTGCCCAAATCACACAGTTTTCTTTTTTTTTTTTAGAATTTTGGCATAATTTATTTACCTCTAGATTTGTACCTATAGCCTAAAAATATTAATGCATTTAACGATACATTCATCGCAAGTGTAATATGATCAATTTCTGGAGTTTTTCTGAAATTTTTTTTAGCAAAGGCCATGCTCTCGCGAGAATTGTATTCATTTCAATCATCAAATGGAGTGGAGTCTCCGTGCATACTTATGGTTCCTGCAAATCGCAGAGGAGCTATCAGCAGGCCTTAGTAAATCTGTCGAAGGATAGTCTATTTGTATTATCTTACTTCAATCCAGACGTGTTATTTTGTTGAACAAAGCTCTTTTTTTGCTACTCCAGGTGTTATGTTTTGGTATGTCGATAAGTTTCATCACATGGTAACACTTTTGCAGCCGAGAGCGCGTCGACACACACTATCATTGAGGTGGCAGGAGATCGAGCACTCGATCTGACTTTCTGAACCACTATGCCTTACCACTATCCTACGTGCTTCTTTTTTTATCCTAATTCAGTTTACGTGACGCTCAGATAGAAATCGGATACTCATTCTTCATTTGTATACCAATTTTTATTCAAGAAATGAAGAATCAGCATTAAAATTCCAACTTTTCTCGCTCAATTTATTCGAAATAAAACACAAGTGGCATTAAAAGTCACAAAACAAAAGGTTCTAAGGGCTAATGAGACAATTCTCAAAAATTACTATTTATCGTCTGCACTTAGCTCATTATATTGAATTGTTCCAATTTGTTGAATAAAGTGAGGAATATATAATGCTTAGGTCGGTTTTTTACACTTGGACGTATTTCACAAAAAAAATGAAAACGATTATGCATCGATTCTGGAATCCAGAACTTACCAAGCGAGTGTGTTTAGCACTAGCCTATTTGCGGTTGGAGTCTCTCCGTTCAAAACTCTTCGTTTAGATATTTTTGTTGGAGCCTGCTTGCTTAATGCTTGATATTTTGGCGAATTATCCCGCACTCACACTCGTTCCATATTGAAATGAGGCAAGCTAAATTGCAAATTTATTTTGTTATTACTCAAATATTTGCCCTTTATATTTGATTTATTGGCACTACAAAAACTATAGTTCAACTCGAAAACAATTAGAGGCAGTCGGAATATTTATTGCTTTACGCTCATATAAAAGCAGTCTTGTTTTGTTAGATTTTCAAAAAGAATAATCATAATAACTAGTTTGAAGTGAAGATCGGAACAGAAGTGTGGACGGAAGTGTCATCCAAGTTGTTTCTACTGCAATTTTTATGTTATTTCAGCAAATTGTTTCTCTATTCCTTAACTTTTATGTATTTTAAATGTTATTTTTTTCAAATAGCAATAAACAGCCGAGAGTTACACTGCAACTATATATTCTAGTTTGTATAGAACCATTTTCGATAAAAATTAAGCTAAGTATCAAGAAATAATCATAATAAGATTGTTAAGACACTAATTAGCCTCAAAAATAAAACAAAAAAAAAAGAAAAAAACGAGGGCCAGAAGTTTCAAACAAAAAAACTGAGCTGAACAAAAAATACATTAGAGTCTACTTTCAGACTTACTTGTATGTTTTTTCACAGGACCATCAAAGTCTTTCCACATAATCTTTAATGGTTTCCAACTGGCTATACTTTGAGTGTAACAATTGTCAATTTGCAAGCAGTTTCTTCAATTTTAGTATGATTTCAGGTCTTGTGGTTTAGCTGTAAGAGCGGCTGTATATTTTAAAAATCTATTAAAATTGATTGCTAATGAAATATAAAAATTAGTTCTATTTTCACCCATTTTGTGTTTATTGGAGTTGCTACGCCTATAAGTTCTCATATTTCAGTTTTAATATTGATTTGGATTTTATGTTTTTTTTATCTTTTTTCTACTTTTCTGAAAGGACGTTACCTGTTTGGGTTTTTATTAGCTTTGACATAAAATTTCTGGCAATGAAGGCAAATTTTTTGCAATACAATCTATTTTAGTTTTTAAAAATGACAAAAAAATTAGTTTCAGTGCCAAAACTATTGGATTTTCATCAACTATACTGGACTTTTTTCATAACTAGGCAAATATAATCGACTTTGTGATCTGATTTTTTAAAATCTGCAATGGACTATTTTGTCTCGGAACTCTATTATAATCTATAGCTGCTTGGATTGGGGTAGGTTTTTAATGCTCGTTTAAATGAATTTTTTAATTGCGTATTAATTTCAGCGTATACAGCAGTCACATCTTTTTTCATTTACTTTTTTTTGTTGTTTTTTCTAGCAGATATTCAAGACCACAAAAAAATCTTGCATCTTTGGATCTTTCAAGAAACATGAGAAATCAAAATGATGGACTAGTGTTTTTGGATCAACCGTACATTTTTCCCCTAAGCTGATTTAGCGCAAAGAAAACACAATTTTAAGTTTGAGGATAGCTCATTTTATTTAAAAAGCAGTTTTTTGTTCAGAGAAATTATTAAAAAGTAAATTTAGGTATTTAACATTATGTCAAACTTTTTGTGACCGATTGAATTTAAGCTTCAAGTGAAAATGAAATTTTTACGCAGGACTAAATTTTATGCTTAATACCTGGTTGAGTGGGGGCGGATCTTACGGTAAGTCTTTTATGCGGGATATCTTACGGTTGATTCGTTTTTTGATAGACAAATTATCCATGTAACTAAAAACAAAAAATTGCAAAATATCATAGGTGTCTCCACTTTTTTCTTTAAAAGAACAGTTACTTTAATAATTTGGCTTTTTCTCAGCGTGTTGTGTTTCACTTCAAAATCAGTAAGTTTTCCTGGCATTTCAAGTAGTTCAATTAATCATTAATAACCTAGTCAGTTACTGAAGTCAGTTACGCTAAATTGTTTAAACCTGACATTCAATAGAATCCAAAAAACTCGTCTTCGAAAAAAAAAATTAATTTTATGTTTCATAACATTTAGTGATAATGAATCCATGCTACAGTCACGGGACACAGAAGTTGCAACTGTTTGTTTTCAACGAGCAATTGAACGAAATTTTTCTTCACGTGTTTTTTTCGTTTTTTCAGGGTTAAAATACAGGGTTAAAATTCTAAAAAAAAATTAGTTGAAACTAACTGGAAAGGCTCGAACTAGCCAAAATTCGAGAAATCTGGTTTTGAAGGAGTAAATTAGCCAGTATATCATAACTAGTTTTAGTGTGTTCTTGCCGTAGAAACCACCTAGCAAACAGTATATGGATTTTGAAAATATGAGTTCAAGTTAGTATATTGGGAGGCTGATGGATAAACGTATCTTATTCTAGTTGCAGATCACATGATTAACATAGTTACTTTTTCCTGCATCGAGAAACAGTCATGTCTGTTTTGACGGCATATACACTAAGACTTCTTGGGAGCGTATACCAGAAAATTTACACGCAACGTAAATGCTAGAAAAAGTCCTTTTCATAGCTTGGAGAAGTAATTTTTCCAGAACATTCGCTGAAACACTTTATTTGATAAGTGAACTCGATCATGAGCGCAAAATTCATCAGTACGTTTTGGTCTTTTTCTTACGCCGGACCAATAAACTCTGTTATTTCTGTTGTTTGTAATTTTTCGGCATCATGAAGACTAAATCAGGGTCATCAGCTTCCCTAAGAACTAATTTGAGCCCATATATTCAAATTTGTTATACTGCTTGCGAGGTTGTTTCCACGGCAAGAACAACTCTAAAACTTGTTATGATATACTGGCTTATTTACGCCTTCAAAACCAAATCTCTCAAATTTTGGTTCAAGTGAGCCCTTCCAATTCGTTTCACCAACATCTTACGAAATTTGGTAAACTGTATTTTAAACATCTGCAAAGAAAACTAAACAAAACATGTGAAGAAAAATTTCGTTCATTTGCTCGTTGAAAAAAAAAGTTGTAACATCCTGGTATATCTCTTTGTCGTCGGATTGCGTATTTAATACCTTGTCACCGCGTTGATAGTATGTGAGCATGAACTCTTGTCAGACATCTAGCTCCTGTTATAACACATTTGATCAAATTTGACTAAGTCGACGAATTGAGAGACGAGCTGCAAGGGATGATCGGTGCATCCTTTTAATGAACTCAACTAAGCTACTGAACTAATAAGCTACTATGTGTACTACATCTCCTGTGTAGGCGTTTAACTTGGTGATAGTACTGCATTGCTTTGTGAGACTTCGTATGATTTGAAATAAAGCGCCATTGGC